AATGCCCCCCCCGCCCGCCGGCCGCCGCCCTTCTCCTCCACGCGGGGCGCGCTGGGAAATGTAGTCCGCGCGCACTTCCGGCCCAGCGCGGCGCGGGGTGGGGTACCGCCCCTCTGTCACCGCCCGAGTCTCTGAAGAAGGGGGCGGGGTTAGCGTGCGCCGGCTCCGAGCCGAGAGCAGCCCCGAAGTGACGGGCACTATGTCCGCGTGGCCCCTCGGGTCAGGGCGAGGAGGTGGCGCTGTACGAGGCCAGCCCCGAGCGCGCACAGGCCGCGGGAGCAGCCTCTGCTTTGGCCCATCTCGCGTTTCTCTCCAGTTTCCTCCTGCCTTCTAGTGACTTGGTTTCACTTCCCGTTCCCCGGGGCCAAGCGCCATCCGCTCGTTCCCTTCCCTTGTGCAGGTAGGAGGACATTGCGGTGCAGCGAGAACCGCGTCCAGGACGGGCTGGCAGAGTGTTGAAGATGGAGTTGTTCAACGCTGCCAAGTAGCCCTCGTGGACGGGCAGCCCTGGACGCGGTTCTCGCTGCACCGCAATGTCCTTCTACCTGCACAAGGGGTGGGAACGAGCAGAGTTAAATATAATATATATAACTCCACCTCAACACTGCCAAGGGGGCCTAAATATTTATACTTGTGGAAATAAATATTTTTGAAAAGCAAAAGACTGCTGTCCACACATTGCTGCGCTTCTCACTGTGCCTGAGACTGCTGATGGGCCAGTGTTGGCCAGGGCCCTGCACTCTCACACCCAGCCCTTACATGCAGGCGTGCGCTTGCTCTCTCACTCGTGCGCACACACACACACTCTGACCCACACCTTCACACTCATTGGTTTCACCATTAATTTCCCTCACACCAAAAGTGTCAGTGTGCACACCTGTATTTTTGCGCTGGCTTCTGAAGCATTAAAGGGACATGTAAGTTAGAAGTCGAGCCAGGGTATCTTGAAGCAGGATCCCAATGTTAGGCTTCTTCATGCATTGTTAGATAAATTAATTAATTCAATAAAATGCCATTGGACCATTAGTAACTAAGTAACTGACTGCAGTATAGACTGCTTCAAAAGGTGCGGACCATCAGGCACTTAAAAATAAAAAGTATACTAAAGCCTCTTACTTTTCTGGTAAGAGAAATTCATCAGGCGAGTTTACAACCTTTTTGAATGGATTTCAGTACAGTATTCAAAACCTAAAAGTAAAAATCACAGAACAAAGGCCAGCTTGATTGATGGAACATCCCAGGGGTCTTGCTTGCCCATGACCAGAGGGGCTGGACCTAATGATCTGTAAGGTCCCTTGCAGTCCCTAACAACTATGAATCTTCAGTTTCCTGAGGCACCAGTCATCTTTAGGTAGTTGTCTGTTCACAAATTAGGCCCTCTGGTGGGCAGAATAAATTCCACAAAAAGGAATTCAAGTAGATCAGCCTTTGCCCCACTGAGCCAGTACATTCCATGGGCTCAGCAACCAGCTGAGCAGAGTAAAGCTTTGCTATGGAGAAGCTTACATTTTCAGAGCTAAGCAAATGCAGCCATTGATATTAGATAAATTAAAATGACACTATCAAGAATATCACCATCACTGCACCTCCACCAGACTCAATGCTGTAAATAGATTTACCTGAATTCATTATTTTTAGCGTTATGCTGTTAAATCTTTACTACATCTTATGCTAACATCTATATTTTTATGCTAACATCTATATTTTTTATTACACATACAGTTAAGAATGATAGGAATTCTGACCATGAGAAACTGTATGTTTACATGGTTATCACAATATGCTTAGGAATATATTATATGGACTCACTACATAAATATTTTGTAGTTAACTCTCTTTTTAAGTGCATCTTGTGACCCAGACCGATGTAAAAATTCTATTTATATGGAAAATCTAAAGTTACTTTCATTTAACTGATTTGGAGGAAAGGCTACTTGATACTCCCGACATTTATATTCCTAGGCATTTTCTAGAGGCAAATCAAAAGTATAAATTACACCCTAGTCAATGTCTGTGTCTTATGACAGAGCTGTATGCAAAAAATCTCTGGATTCAGAAAAAGGAACTCAAAATTAAGTAACCTGAAAGTAACTAATACTATCATATCCTCAGACAAAGATGAAACAGAAAATAATTGGAAACCCTGCAAGGTATATGCCCAACATTGGTGTGGTTCATTGGGTAGTGGGCATGTGAAAGTATGTCATTAAATAATAATTTAAATGATAACATTTAACATTATTCAATTAATTAATCAATCCATAAAACCTTAGAATTACTGTGCAGCATATTTATTGTTTATTTTTTTAGAATCTACTGGTAAATAACTTCTTAGTTATGAGAACAATTAGCAGATCTGGGGAGTCATATAAAGGTTAATTAAACATAAGGATTATTTCTCTCTCATCTTCCTCCCTTCTGTCATGACCCAATGATTGTGTGCGCGCTTTGGCACTGCAGAATTATTTCCCGCCACATGGAGCTTTCTTTGCATGGTGCAATTCTCAGCTGCAGAGAGAAAACCCCGGTGCAAAGGAGTTCCCGCCACCCGTATGTAAATTTGTTTCCCATTATTGGCTGTTTCTAAATTATTCCTACGTGGCGGCTAGCGATTGGCTCGCTAGTCGTATAAGAGGTTTGAGCAGTTTCCGCCCAAGTTGTAGAGGACTCCACAACCATCTCGTGGGGACTCTGAGCACACGGCAGAGTAATAGAAACTATGTGTGTGTCTCAGAGGAGTTCGGCGGCCTGATCAACCACCAACCTCTTCCTGTCTCGTTCGTTAAATTCTTAAGATGTATCTACGGTTTTGCGCGCTCGTCAAGGGAATCCAGAGCTCTGTCGTGTTTGTTTTTGTGGAGCCTAGCAAGCTCCACTTGTGTTTGTCTGTAACTGCAACTCAAGAAAGTTTTTCCTGCCTGCACCGCGACCACCTATGGTGTAAGTAAAACAATCTTTAATTAACCGCTATGAGTCCATGCCTAATTCTAGTCCGTCGTGCAAAAGTACCCGCCCTACTGTTGTGGGCTCCTGGCCACAGCCCGCCGCGCACCCCTGAAAGCCTCGGCCCGCTCCCGGCCCGCACATGGCGACGAGGATGGGATCCGGGGAAAGCACGATGGAGCTAGAATTAGTTAAGAACTGCCCTTGGCGCAGTGGAAAACGCCAAGTAGAAAACATCATGGAACTGGAGGTGCATATCGCTTACCACCAGGCGGGCGGAACGGGTGAAAGGTTTATCAGCGGACATCTTTCGCTGAAGGGAGAAGAGGGAGCTTCCGAAGACGGAGCCCCAAGAGAGAGGG